ATAAACTATTATAATAAAGTTCACATTTAAATAAGACTCTAAATATATTTATCGATTAGCATTAATTCTATGATTTTTCGACATAATACACGGTTATTCTTTACTATCCAAAATTTGATTTTTTACAACGTTTAGATAACTATATTTTATTGAAAACATTACAAAGGGTGCGATTTTTTTACATGTTGCTTTTTTTCTTTAAAATCAAGATAAAAGTCGGATTACTTTTCAAAAATTATACTTTTTTTCGTAGGTGGGACATGTATGTCCCGAAGTACGAAAGGGTGAATAGTATAATTTGTGGTCCCAAGAATAAATCCAACAAGGTGCCTATATAATCCTCTGCTGTGATGCATAAATTATATAAGACGATAAGATATACTTTATACTTTGGTATTAAAGAGGACTTAAATCAGTCAATTTTGAAAAACGAAGTAAAAAATAAAGATTATAGAAAAGTTTGCAGTTAACATTATTTAAGTACATACATTTGAACTATTTATGCAAATTATATCTTACTACCTTATATAATTTAAGTACCCGGGAAAATGTTATATATATATATATGGACATATTTTATATATAATTATATATAACTTTATATAATTATATATAATTATATATAATTACATATAAAATATTTTTTCCCGGGCACTAACAACTGCGAAGTCGCATACTTTTTTTTTAATTACATATAAAATATTTTGTTTTTTTATAAAGTAAATATAATTAATTATTCAATATAAATTACATATGAAATGAACTTTTCGCAATTAAATCTCCAAGTAACTTATAATTACCAAGCGTTTTCATCCTCTCAGTCCCTCGGCTGTTTATCACTCGCTTCTCTGAACACGTTAGTTGCTCTTTTCCTTCGTGATAGTATCTCATTGATGTCCTTTGAGTTCTTTAGTTAAATCTTCCGTTACAGCCGCCTTTATCTCACTCAAGATGAATACCAGTTTGAATTGACTTAATTGGAATGAACGTGTTTTGCTTTGGTGAGCTGTTTTCTTATAATTTTTTATGTTTTTGGAAATTTCTGATGAAACCTATCGAGTGAGCTTTGCACACTCGTGAGTTGACTTCACATTTTTACTTCTTTGTGGCTGCTCTGTGAAAGATTGGAAAGTATATTTCGTTAATAACTTTTTTCATCTATGTTACTGGCTGTATTGTCATTAGTAAAGCAGACAGAATTAAGTGTGACAGAATGAATAAGAGGAGGAAGAGGAAAAGAAAAAGAAGAACAAGAAAAAGAAGAGATGATCACCGATGGTGCAGCACCTTCTGAAAATTGAGGATTCCTTGTCAGTTTAATCTGACGATTCAGATTAATAGCATTTTCGAGTGCAACCGGTTTGAATCCGATTCAGTTTAGTTAACCCATGCTTGATTCGAAAATCATAATCTTGTCCAATCAGAAATTAAAATAAAGCATGTGGGACCAAAAACGTTATCGATCCAATTCGGATTAGATTAAAACTCACTGCACTCGAAAACACTGTTTCTGCATCGGTGATTACCTTGTTCATTTTCTCGTCAGCTATCGCAAGCGCTTTCTCATTTTCTCACAAATTTTTCTTCACAAACCTTCCCTTTTCATTCCTCACATGCGTTACTCGATCGTTCTCTTTTCGTTTTTTCGATTTGTAAGCCGTCTTTCTATTTCTCAATGACCATTGCGTATCTCTCCTTTTTCTGAGTTGCATCCCTTCGTTCGAATTTGATATTGTTGGTAAATTTCTTCTTAAGCTCATCATTGATCGCGTTATTATCTCCGATCTGCTCACCTCTGTTCTCTTTCTAGCTTTGCTTGTTTGTGATGATGTAGTATCATCTGTAAACACGCAGTATGATCGATTTATTTGAGATCCTGTAATATCATATGTTATCCGATACGTTTTATTTTCCCGGATGTTCTTCCTCAATCTTTTGTCCTTCAATGTAACAACCATTGATGCTTCACACATGCTTTGGCCATTGTTGTCCACTATTGTGAATTTATCGCTGAAATTTTTGCTTTGTTCACCTGTTGCCAAATAAGCTTCTATCGCTTCATTTAATCGTTTCTCTATTTCTGCATTCTCCTCTTTAGCCTCAGTTTCTTCAATGTTATCGAATTTCTCCAAAAACTCACGCATTTTTTTAATTCTTGCAACCCTTTCATTAATCGTTTTCTGCAGCTCACCTCGTCTTTCGATTTCTGTCATTAATCGTTGCTCCTCTTCTTTTATCTCTTCAATAGTTTTAAACTCACTATCTTGTGTTTGCAACATACTACTTGATGTCATTGTCACAGAATTGATTACTTGCAGATCTTGTGACTCGTCCACATGTAGTAACTCCACATGTGGTTGCTCTGTATGTGATTGTTCCGCATGTGGTTGTTCTGTATGTGGCTGTTCCATATGTGATTGCTCTATACATGGTTCATCCATTTGTATCTCATTCATTTGTAGTTCTCTATTCCACACTATTGCTGCATGACCCACTGGAGCCAGTCTCCAATTAATTACTTCTTTCCTCTCTTCTTTTTCCTTAATGTCAATATGTGGATTTTCCTCGATTTCAAACGCTTCGTCCACTAATATCCCCGTTTCATGCTCTGAAATTTGGTCCCACTTTTTCGCGTCATCATCATAGGTTAAATTTCTATCGAGA